GGAGGAGTCTTCGGTTTTGGACGTCCTTCGTCGCGGCGCTGTGACGAATGCGGCCGACAAATTCGACCTTCGGAGGACCCGTCCTGCCGTTTTGGACACAGCCCAWGTTTCAATAAACAAAGACCAGGAAGTTAAATTTCTTAAAGAGTTCCCCTTTGATGTCACTTCCTGTTTCACTTTGGCTGAGCCAAATTCAAAGGAAAGCATGACAGTTATGTGACAAAATGGGTAAAATCATGTTTTATGCAAAGTATCTTAAATATAAATATGTTTTCATTAACTTTTTGTAATAAAAAATGCAGATCACAGGAACTTTAAAATAATCTCTGAGGAATTAATCTAACCGTTTTGCACACAGTTTTGTGTTTTGCTCAAGACTCATTATTTGGAGAAATGCCAGCTGTGGTGTTTTACAAGCATCTTATAAATGACATGTATGATCTACGAGGAGCTTTAATAGTGAAGCTGTGTGAGGACCGAACAGACCAGGACAGTGTTACAGTATGTCCCATCATATCAGGGACAGGTTAGTTATCAGACAGGAAACACTTCCTGTTAAAAACTGAGTCTTTGTTTCGCTCAGAGCTGGCTTCAGTCACGTTAAAGAGAAGGATGGAGTGAGAAGGGGGGAGTCGTGGTAATAGCTGCTGTCAATCTCCCCTCTGACCTCTCCTGCACATTCCTCCCCTTCTCTGCTTATTAGTCATATATTAGCTTTTCCATTTGTCTCGGCTCGGCCCTGACAGGCCGTGTGTTGTCATGCGAGCGCCGCGCACGGCCACACCAAACCGTTTCAGACACAAGTACAAAGGTAGCTCTGTTTTTCCAGACGCAAGGCAGCCGTGCAAATTGAAGTGTTGTTATGGACCCTGACAGCAGAAATGTGCTGAGAGCAGGATGTGTGTGTGTGTGTGTGTGTGTGTGTGTGCGTATAAAACAGTCCAACATGTCACTACCCCGCGAGCAATCCAACCCTCCCTGCCCTCCCCGACGAAAACTTCAGGCCAGCCGACACCTGAAGCTTATTAAACATAAATCTTTGCTGAAGCAACGATGTAACCTGAAACTTTTATTGACTTTTCGAGGGCGCTTCATAAATCGTTTTCTGCTTCTCTCCTTCCTCTCTCGTCAACATGTCATATATATCCCACACAACGTTGCTGCTGCGGAGTAAAAACTAATGTTTCCACGTCAGGGCCGGAGTAAACAACCGCAGCACGCTGTGTGAAACTTGCAGGGAGGCGGAAAACTGAAGCTGAAACTGTGTTCAGTTTTTAAAAAATGGCTCCAACAGATGTTAGGACTGTTCTTCTTGTCTGAAGCAATGTTTAACTCCTTCTTTTCAGATCCTTCACATTCAAAAAAGTTAAAGAAAACATCTTTATATTTAAGAAACTTGGCATAAAACATGGTTTTACCCATTTCGTCACATGCCTGGCATGTTTTCTTTTGAACTTGGCTCCGTCAAAGTGAAACAGGAAGTGACATCAAAGGGGAAATCTTTAAAAAAGAACTTTGTTGATTAAAATATTATCTGAACTCTGACTCTTCATCTGTTAGTGACTCAAAATAATTTAAAGAAACATCAGATTCTTCTCTACAGTCTGGGTTATTAGCCATTTATTAGCAATGCTC